AACAACAAAAAGAATTGATTAAAGCTATGGAAACACCAGAAGAAAAACGATTTAGACGTTTGATGAAAAAAGAAATTAAAGAAAGAAAAAGAAAAGAATTAATGGGTTGGGATAATGATTATCTTCACTATACAAATGCTGATAATCCATTTGGAGATGCAAATTTGCTTTCTACATTTGTGTGGGATAAAAAAATGGCCAAAGATGGTCTGATAGGTGTTAGTAATGAAGAACTTGAGTTAAGAAATAGACAAAAAATGGAAGAAAATAAACGAGAACTAGAAAAAGTGAAAAAAAGACGAATGGAAAGGGAAATGGAAAGGCAACAGAGAGATGAAGAGATGGCATTATTACAAAGAAGTAAAGAAGCTGCACAATTTAAAGAATGGGAAAAAAGTGAAGATCAATTTCATTTACAACAGGCTCGCTTGCGTTCTACTATACGTATTGAAGATGGCAGAGGTATTATTTTATTGAATTATAAAAATCTTTTTACTGTTCTTAATTTTTATTGAATTTTTTCAGCCAAACCAATTGATCTGCTTGCTAAGTATATTAGTACTGAAGAAGAAGTAGATGCTGTTGAAATGCATGAACCTTATATTTACTTAAATGGTTTAAGATTAAAAGATTTAGAAGATCTAGTAGAAGATATTAAAGTTTACATGGAACTAGAAAAAGGGAAAAATTTTGACTACTGGAATGACATAACTGTTATAGTTGAAGATGAATTACATAAAATTAGAAAAATACAAAAAGAATCTACTTATACTGGTAAATTTTATTTCCTATATTACAATTTATTAAATATTAGTATTATTAAATTGTATACATATATATTATTTATAGCTGTTGGTCGAAGAGAAGGAATTCATCAGTCAGTTGCTCATGAAGTTGCTCATATTTTCAGAGGTAAAACTGCAGAGCAATTAGACCAGTTAAAAACACAAATTGAAAAAAAAATCAATAGTAAAGCTGAAGGTGTTGATATTGGTTATTGGGAAACTTTATTGTCACAACTTAAAGGTATGGCAATATAAATAATTTATACTAATACCTTTATTATTTTTTTGCATGACAATACAGTTTTAATCTTAATTTTACTATGATGTGTATAGCTCATGTTGCAAGAGCTCGACTTAGAGATCGTCATCAAGAAAATCTAAAGAAAAAACTTGAAGTGCTTAAAGCACAACAAAAAATGGAAGAATCACAATTCGATCCTGAAGAAGGAACTAGTAGTCACAATTATCATGATCAAATTGTCAAAACTGATCTGTCATCAAACCGTAATGAACCATCAACTTCAAATAAATCTCCAATAAGAAATGAAAAATGTGAAAATTCTGCAGATGATATTAGGTAACAATATAATTATACATTTATAATTTAATTTTTATAAAACTTAATATAAATTACATTTTTTATTGATTACTAGTGATGCTGAACAAGAGGCTAGAAACATAATAGAAGAATGTACTGCAGATTATGAAGCTTGTGGGTATAGTCCATCATATATTTCTCCCAACAGTTTGGAACCCGGCACTCTAGTTGTATCTGAACTTGATGACAATAAACGACTAACATTTGCTCGACTACAAGTGCAAGGCACAGGAACAAGGATTGAAGTGAATATATTACATATAATAAATTTTTAAGTGTCAATTTCATGTGTTGTTTGTATATACCATTGTATAATTTGGCATTGATAAATTTATGACATAAGACATTATAAATAACCGTATTTACTTACACATTTGACAGTTGTCTAGTTATTTGATCTAACTGAAATTTGATGCCAATTGAATATTAATAGGAATATTTGTTTATATATTTATCAGTAAAATTGATTGTTGAAAAGTAATACTATGTATTTATATTTATGAATAATTTATGACAAGAGTCAATTCTTAAATATGATATCAAATTTATAACAGTGTATCTTATAAAATTTCCAATAGTATTTTTTTAAATTAATCTAGTTATGTCTAAGACTTACATATTGTTTACAGAATGTCATGGCTGCAGAAGAAATTGCTTTACAAAAAGAAGCTAGAAAAGGAATGACAAATGAGGAAGCCGAATTCTCAGTAGAGTCTGAATTGGACCATCAAGTATACTTGTGGTCAGATAAGTATAGACCTAGAAAACCTAGATATTTCAATAGGTGAGCATAGAAAAAATTATCTTAAATTTGGTTATTAAAAATTATATTTATATTAAATTTAAAGGGTGCATACTGGATTTGAGTGGAATAAATATAATCAGACTCATTACGATATGGATAATCCACCGCCAAAAATTGTTCAAGGTTACAAGTTTAATATATTTTATCCAGATTTAATAAACAAGGGTTCGACTCCACAATATTTCTTGGTAATTTCTTAAATATAATATGAATATATAATAAAGTTGTTTTCTAATATATTTTGCAATATTTTTACTTTTTTAGACTGCTTGTGGAGATAATCCAGAATTTGCTGTTTTGCGATTTCATGCTGGTCCACCATATGAAGATATTGCATTTAAAATTGTTAACAGAGAATGGGAATATTCTTACAAAAGAGGATTTCGTTGTCAATTTCATAACAATATTTTTCAACTATGGTTTCATTTCAAGCGTTACCGATATAGAAGATAATTACAAGCTTTTTTTTTTTAATTTCTATGTTTGTATATATATATATATACTAATAAAATAACAATTTATATGGAACTTTATTGATTTGATTTTTTTTTTATAGAAAGGTGTCCTTTAATTAAATTATTGTTATGTGGTTCCTTGTATCTTGTACATGTAAACTAAACGTTTACAGGTGTAAATTTAAAAAAAACAAACTAAACCCAACTAAGTTAATAAGTTTAAAATAATAAAACTGAAAAAATTACAGTATTTTTATTGCCAAGCAAATATGCAGTTATTATTTTATTTTAAAATAGCACTGCTAATTATGAATTTATTTAAAAATGTAAATATTACAAATACAGTCATGCTGGCTGTGTATTATTGGTCGACTTAAAAAAGTTACTTTGCTTATAAATGCTATAGTTGACTCCACTAATTTAACTTAAAGACAAAAAGAAATAAAATCTACACCTCCATAATATTTTTGTATTTTTACTATACAAGTATAGTGTTAAGGCATTGTTTTATTTTACTAAATAAATAAATGGGATTATAATAGGTATTTAGAATTCTGGCCTAATCAAAAGGTTTTTTTTTTCATTTTATTGAAGAATATAAATTATTTTTTCACAAATATTAAATTAAAAAATTAGTTAAGTACAGAAGTACTCAAACCGTACATTGCAGTTCCAAAATTATATCCTCATTTTGAGCTTCTTAATAAAATTAAGGCCTTCCAAAGGAAATTAATTTTATGGAAGACTAAAATAGAAGAGGTTACTTTAAATACTACTTTCCTATGCTCCATACATTCCTATGTGAAAATTATATGAGTAATATCGGTATAATCATTGAACAATCAAGGTCATCCATCTCACTAAATATTAATTAATCTTCATTAATTAGTATTAATTTAGCATAAAATATTTAATACAATTTTTTCTATCTCATCTATTTATTTTTAAATTGTTTTATATAGTCGCATGATAAATAAATAAATATTAATACTTGCATTGTAATACATAGGTAATATAACTATTGTTTTTTTATCTTTACTAATTTGAGAGTCTTTAAAATATTGTGTATACACGAAAGAGACGTGGAATGAAAATGTTTGAATACCTCTGGTCTATCTTCATTCATTACCAATGATAGAATTATTAATATAAATATTTTAAAATAATTAAACATAGAAACTATTAATTATAAATTTTAATGTGATCAACTAATATGAAAATAAAAGATTAAGTGTGTCTCTTTGTTTCAATTTTTGAGTGAAGCAAGTAATGTATTTTAAACCTATAATACACTAATGCTTGAATGTAATGCTTAATAAACTGTAAATGTTTTGATAAGTATATTTTCAATGATGAGCTTATTGAAACACATCCCTATGGATCCTATTTGTCTTTATAACATTTGACCTGATTATCACTGTTACAATCATATATATTATGAGGCGAAGTCTAATACAAAATAAACAATTTTTTTCGAGTCTGTAAATTATTATTTTTAATCTATAAATGTACGGAAAGGTCAGAAAGTTCTTGGTGATGCCGGCAATAGTCGCTAAACCATGAGTTTAATCTTCTTTGTGTAATGTATTCTACATTAAACATTCTATTATTTTTGGTTTTTGGTACTCTTGAATAAAAAAATAAAAATGTATTGATAACAAAATGTGCAATAAGTTTTAGATCAGATGTAGAAATATTGTTTTTACCACAATATAAATCATATATACATTAAATTATTTTTAATTTAACACGATAATTAGTATTTATACCATATGTAATGGAAAATAACTAATATTAATGAGTTTATATAATACCATTGTTGTCGTTTTACAAGTGTTGTGATTCATACTGGATACTGGGAATATTTTAATTGAATTTGAATACAATGTGCAATGTATTCATTATTTTGAAGAGGTATATCACATTCAATAAATCATTATTAATCATTTTCTTACATAAATGTATGTTATAATCTTTTATTTTTCAATTTGTTATGTTTGTTATAATTTCTTAATTTTTTTTCGTTTGATTATATTTAATTTTTCTATTTGAACAGATATTACTTATATATTTACTTAATATTTTATTTTAAGTTATAATATTAAGATTTAATATTAGGATTAGAATCATTGATTACCGTAAAACGGGGTCACTAGGGTCAATTTTAGAGGTTTTTTGGCTATAAGTTTGCGAATTCTGTAACTATAAAATACAAATTAAGTTGTAAGGTTAGTTTATGCAATGCTCGATATGTGTACTGGATGACGTATATATTAATATAGTATTTAATTTAATTTTGCTATTTTTAGTGTAATAAGGTAGGTAATTAATGAATGAATGATTATTTTCTGTAGTCTAGTATTCTAGGAAATACAGCTACATTCAATGTACCAACATAAATATAGAATTATAATTTTAAAAAATATTATTTATATACCTACTTACATCGTATTATTTGCTGATTTTATGGATAATTTATTATAACTCAGGGTTTTATTACCGCTTAGGCTGTTTAGGCTAAAGCCTAGGGCGGCAAATTTTAACGGTCGAAACGAAATAGCAAATGTTTGAGTTGAGTTTGAGAAATTTAGAATTTTTATTTATTAATAATATAGTAGGTATGCATAAAGTATTGGTTTTATGTTTTTATTTTATTAATGATCATTTTTGTAGTATGGGACGTGGGATTTTTTTTACGCATCACTTATAGAAGTAAAATATCAATACGTAAAGTAGGTAGTAAATTTATTTCAGCCTATGGGCTGCAAAAACCTTAAGCCGGCCCTGTTATAACTCAAACTTTAATTCTAAATAGTTAAATTTATAATATAAGTAAATTATTAGACTCTATTATTATGATATATTACTAATTGTATATGTGTTTTAGTTTAAAAATAATGTAACAAAAATTTTGTTAAAATGTTAGTTTTCATGCAAACTAATAGAAAACGACTCATTTTTAATTGTTTGCGTTTTCTTATATATAAAAATATTTTTTAATGAATAGTACATAATATTACCTACGTGTATAATCATCATATATCTTTGAATACTAAATTATCTATTATATATTACTTAAGTATATTTTTAAGTAATTTTATAATTATTTACTAACTATAATGTTACAAATAAAAGTATACATTTTAGAACTTTATTATTTATTCAAAATGTTTTATTATTTTTATCATATTTGTTAGATTTTGTACCTGCCACTTGCCAGCTTTCTTTATAACTGTTATTTGTTAAATAATTAAACACGTGCATATCATGTAGACCATAGGATATGATATTAAGCTATAAGAATTTAAATAAATCATTGCTTACTTATTATTCTAATCTATTTAAAAATTATTAATATTTAATCTATTATAATATATTCTGTTTTATTAAAAATGTATAGTACTAGCTGACTATTTAGTATAAATGAATAAGATAAAAGATGAAATAATGGAATCATGGTAATGAATATATCTACATAAATAAATTTATTTAAATTGATGTCTATCATAAAAATGTAAGCACATTTTGTATTTCATTATAAAACATTTTTAAAATTAAATTTTTAGATTATTCATATCTTATTAGTATAAAAATAATTTGAGTAAAAGTATTGTCATGGATTGTATTTAATTAATTAATTTATTATAATAAGGTCTTCAACAATAGTTTTTAAATGAACCCTACTAGACTTTATGTTATTAAATAAAATATGAGCTCATACAATATTGGATACTTTATAAAACTTATATTTTTTTTATTACTATCCAGCTAGTTTATCTATATTGGTTAATTTTATGTAAATATATATTATTAATAAAATATAAAATAAATTTCATTATCTGCTCATTAGAATACATTTAAAAACACTTTTTTAATATAGGTATCTAAATGATTCTAAATACCAACAAATTGTTTTTAGCATATATTTTCATACATTATTGAATATTTTAAACGTAATACTTACTACTAAAATTTTGATTATTTTATGAACTGAATAATATAATATTTATTATACAACATAATTATGTCAAATAAAATTGACAATTGTATGGTTAAACACTTTTATACCCTTTTATAAGTGTTCTTTTTTTAGTATACTGAACATGCACCAGAAAACAAATTACATACCTACCTACACTGCAGATTATACCACATTAATATTGCATTAAAATATATTAAATTTAATAGCTACCTCACGTGTAGTCTGTAAATAACTTTTTTTTATGCAACTATAGTCAATTAAGAAGTTAATGTCCTTTTTTC